GGGGAACAACTGAGACTAATTATCATGGCCTGCAGCCTCAAATCACTCAATATTTAATGTATTCAGGAAAGTCTTAGAACCTGGTCTTGCTTCTCTGCATCATAAATAGGAAGTACTGTTAGTGATTTGTGTAGCAGAATTTGGAAACTGGGGCCTTAGTGTATAGCCTGAGGCATGGAATGTCTGTCTGTCTGTTGCAAGTGTTGCAAGAAGATTTTGGGACTCAAGGGCAGTTGTTATATTTACAAACTGTCAAGCTTCCATTCTAACTGCTGTGCCAAAGGCTGCTGCAAATGAATGTGGGTGTCTTGACATGGAAAAGAATAGTGAACTGTGCTAGCTGCAACCAGGGTGAATTGGTGGATTTATTAATCCAGTTTCCCTACATAATGTAAGAAAAGGAATGTCAGCTCCCTGCACCATTTCATTTTCCAGCTGGACTCTTGTATTTTAGTTGTCTTTCAACTGCTAGGTTTTTTTTTTGCCACATCTACATGTAGGCTATGACATGTTCTTGTGTCTCCCTGAAGACCTCTGAACTCAAGGCTGCTTTTCTTTCTTCTTCAGCTCCTTAATAAAAAAATCTTCTCCCTCCTCTCTGCAGCCAGGTATGTGACAAGGATTGTAGCCCATACTGTTTAACCTTGAGTGCTACTGGAAATATTTTGTCTACGCTGCTAGGTTTTGATTGAAACTTACTGATGCATTCACATTGACCTAAAGCTGGAAATACTTTGAAGTTGCTGGTTTCCCTGAGTGAAAGAGTGACTTCTGTTGAGTACTTCTGTGCTTTATGTACTTGTGAAGTTATGGCTTCTGTGGTAGTTCCACTTCTGTAAGACGGCACCTTATGTATGGATTCCATCTCTTCTAATGGAACTTGGTCAAACTAGAGGAGAAGGCTCTTTACTGCCCTTGCCTGTTCTGACAGTCAAAAAGTTCTGGGTAGCAAGAGCAGTTGTGTGGAGTAGCAGTACTGCTCTGAAGTTGAGCTCCTAGACCCTGAGTATCATCTCATGGAGTCTTAGAGGATCCAACTTACCCTGTGCTCAAGAAGCTCCCTGGGTAAGCAGAAAGTCAACATCACTTCCTGAACCAGAATGACAGATGGTGACTGCTGCAAGTCACCCAGTATGTTACTGCCTGAAGAGCTAAGCAGTGAGAGGTGCCTGCCCAGGAGGTTTGGGCTAGTCAGCAGTGATGCCTTCTCCAGAGGGTTGGGGGCCAGGAGAACAGTGGGGACACTGTCAGAGTCCTCAAAGGTGTATTTTCATTCAAAGGCTTTTTCATTTCCTGTTCAGAAATCCATGGGTTGGCATTATTTCCACCTATTTATCTTTCATCTGGCAGGGATAGGAAGCACAAAAATCTTACTGGAATAAATAAGAGGCAAACAAGACCTTTTTCTTCTCTTGATTCATCTGCACACATTGCAGAGGGTCCTATGGATCTTCTGGTCATTGTGAAGGCTTCACAAGCCAGGGAAAGTGGTTTCATCCAACACCTTGACTACAACAGCTTTGCTTAGGATTAGTCATGTTTAGGTCATCTTTTGTTCTAGGCATTAGATTTCCTGCTTCCTTCTGCAACTGTGTCTCATTTCATATTCTAGGGGCCCCCCTTTTCCCCAGGTTTTTACTGTTGCTTGTACATGATTGAAAAAACTTGGTTTTGGAATTTGGGGAGTGTGGTGGGGGGTGGTCCTTCTCATTGTTCTTTCAACTCAGTGCTCCTCTCTCCTGTTTGCCAAGATGAAGGCTATTCCAATGCAGTACCACTGGGTGGTGGCTCTCCCTTTAGGAGACACAGTTTAACACAAAAAAATACTTATGTTGAAAATGAAGTTTTCTCCATTTTAACTTGTACCCATCCCTTTTCTTCTTTTACATGGCACCACTGAGAAGAGTTTGTCTCCATCTTTTTATTCCAGGTAGTTCACAGATAAGGCCACGCTGAGCTTCCCCTACTCCAGGAAAGAAACAGTCACAGCTCTCTCTCAGCCTTTGCACATAGCTCATGTCATGTGGTCAAAGGCCTTCAGCATTTTCTTGGCTATCATAGACCATCATCTCTATTTGGGATGATATTTTTAAGTTCTATCACAATATCTGTGGGGCTTAAGAGTGTTTTAGGTGTTTTCAGTTACATTTGGGTAATATATCTTAACTGTATATTTTCTGTTTAATTCTAGGTATTACAGGAACTGGATGGAAAAAAATTACTAAAGAACTTAAACAAGGTAACGTGTCATTATATTATGTGTGTTTTAAGAAAAGATGCAACTGTTTCTAGGTCTTGACAGCTTTCAAGCAATTATTTTCAGCTCCCTGTGCTAAGCATGGGATTTTTTTTTCTGCTAGCTTTCCATTTTAGACTTGAATATGAAAAATTCTTGCTTAGAATCAAGCCTTGCTGATGTGTCTTTTATCTAAGGAGTACAAAGAGATTTTGAACACTTAGCTTAGAAAAACCTGACTTCTCCCCCTGATTTTCTGCTCCCCTGTTAATTAGGCATCTGCTCCAAGAATTGCATGAACAAAAATGGTGCAGTCTGTAGTCGTGTCTGTCTGGAGCTTTATCACAGCTCCTCGTGTTCTTTGATTTATATGGCATGGTACCTGTACCACACAGGGTAGCTGTATCCTTCAGCTCCACAGCTGATGCCATGGTGAGGGAAAACAGAGGTGTTAAGGGGAAGTGGCAGGACCAAATGCAACATTTGTATACAGGTGAAAGGAACTGAGAACTGAGAACTATCACTGCACACTAAAAACCTCCCACTGCCAACGCAGGAAGGAAAAAGCCAAATGACAAGATGTAGCCATGTAAGCAAGGTAGTGGCAGCATTATTTAGAATTCAGACTGATCATACACTGGATGTGATACCTGTTCACATCTGCAAACAGCAGTTTAACAGTAAAATGGTTAACAGTAAAACTTTGAGGAAACAGGCATGAACAACAATATTAAAATTGCAATTTTTATTAATTTGAATAACATAATCAAATCTGTAGCACTTATTTGGAAAAAATACCCAAACCCATCCTGATGCCTTAAGTTTTAGCTTTCATATTTTTCATATTCTGTGCTGCCTAGGTATGTAGTTTTGAGCTTCATATGAAGTGTTAGTGAGCTCTCTTCACAGAGTAGGCAGACAGAGCAATTCCTTCTCTAGCTTGAGACCAAGGAGCATCGGTACAAGTTTCAGGCCCAAAAGTATGAACAATGTGGGACTGAAGAGAGAAAACAAGGAAGATGGGAGTTTATAATCTGAAGGTGTAATTAGACAATTAACCCCAATATGCAGATGGACCAAAATTTATAAAAATGTGAGACTTCATGACCAGTCATTCATTTTTGTGACCATTTTGGTACATCTTGGGTGTAGCCCTGGCCAGGCTCTTGTACTGCTCAAGGTATTCTTTCAGGCCTTTCAATAAATACCTACTTTATTCTTAATTCTGTCTAGCCTCTGTTCTAGCTCAGTCTTCTCAAGAAGAAAATTTCCCACAAACAAACAAAAACCCCCTCAAACGACCCACACAACATTCCAAAGCAAGAGCTGACAAACATTCAGCAACTGTAGGTTTACAAGCTCAGGAAGCAGAGTTACAGTGAAATCTTACCAAGTCATGAAAGGAGTCCCACTATCATCTGAACCTACCCAGAGATTCATCTCCAGGAGGATCTCAGTTCAGTTTAGCCACAGGCTAAGTCTAATCAAGTACTTCCACAGAAAGCTTTTGATAAGAAGAGATCATTTCATTTTGAGCACAACTCCATGGGTTTTACATAAGCAGAATCTTTGACCAGTAATAAATATTATTTTCAGAGCCTATTGCAAATACAAGCAGTAAAAATCAAGAAGCAAATTATGATTCAAGTATTTAGATTCCCAAGTGCTATATAAGCTGTACTCCTTTCTCTCTGAAGAACTAAGTGATAACATTCTACTCTTGACAAAATTTGGCCTCATTGTGCTGAAGAACCTCCTGCTTCCACAGTGCTCCAGGAACAAGAACAGAAGAAACTATCATCAGAGATCAAACTATGACCCACCTGCTGAAATGAGTGTGCTGGAAGAGCACAAGCATTCCACTTGGCTCTGGATCACTATGTTTCTCCAAACAAAGCACTGATATTACTGCACGCCCTGGGGAACCGAGCAGTTGGACGTCAGTGCAGCTGGAACATGTGAAAACCTTCTGAGTTTCTACCTGTAGGTGAACATCTATTACACATAAAACTTTACTGAGCAGCACATCAAAGCAGCCACAGCAAGGGGCTGCGTTAATCATTCCAACCCTGCTAGACCTCTTGCACCTGATCAACATATAAGCAAAGAATATTTGCAAAGCAGCAAATACCACTGTATTTGCATTTCTCACTGTAACATTCATTTTCCCTTTTAAGGGTAAGGTAACTGCTAGTAAATTATTCCAAAGTATCTCTGTCCTAGTTTAGGGCAAATTAGGGAGGAAAACTCCAAATGGGGATTTCCCCAGGGAAATGCCCCCTCCCCACCAACTGGTCTGGGAAAGGAAAAAAAAATTCCTTGGAGAGAAGTGGAAAAAGCTGTTTATTTAACAGAAATTGAATAATATTAAATAATAAAACCTCTCGCTGTTCGATGGGATGACAAGTCTAGGAAGAAAAGTCCTTTTCATGTGGTGTAGCTCGGCTCGCTCAGGTTCTTATCAGTCCCTCCGGCGCTGGAAAGTGCCGAGGCCCAGGCCCCGGTGGGCCACAGGCGTGAGCTCCCGGGGCCAGGAGCAGGCTTGCACAGATCCAAGAAAATTGGGAAAAAACAAAGGTCCAGGGAACTCCTCTGCCTCAGCTAGCTAGAACTAACTAAAAGCCAGAGAGAAGCTCTGTCCCGCTGTCTGTCCGTGCTGCAGACACCACAGTCCAGGAGCGGGATGTGTGGGAGTGATGTTTTTCCTTAACACAAACTGCGCGCTTCTTCTTCCCCCTCTCTTGCTCTCAAAGCCAGTCTTAAAGGTGCAGAACTTAATATATAACATAAACCAGACGATTTGGGATATCAGTATCATAAAGTCACCCCAGGACAATCTCTTTCCATGATTTTGGCAATATAATAAGTAATTTGGAAGTTAATTCAAATGCTTGTATGTTCAAACACACAGTGATAATATTATTCTCCTTCACTATACCACTTTTAATAGAGACCTACTCAACCCCCCCAAATTATTATCACAGTGCTGTTAAAAAGACTTGATCCCTTAGGCATGGCTAGGAATCATTACTTTTTACACCATTTTGTTAAGCAAAAAGCTTGGACAGAGCTCCTATAAAACTCTCTTCCCCTCTGCATCTCAACAGAAAAGATACAAACTGAGAAACAAAATCAGCACAGTTATGTTGATCAGTTTGAAGCAACTTCTCCCTCCGTTACTCGCTTGTTGACCAGGCACACTGTAGGAGACCACAGGTTCTGCAAGAGGATGTTTCAAGTATATTTCAAATTGCCAACACTTTCCCTACCTGATGCAGTCCTGTTTACCCAGCACTGACTTTCTGCTAGTTTCCATTAAATGGTTTGGTTCCAGTAACCCAAATTTAAAGGAAGGATAATTCTCAATGAAAGCCTCAAATTCCCACAAAAATGGATTATTTCCAGAAGACTTCTTTCAACTACACCATTCATCCACGGGCTAGGTAATATACTTAGCTTGTCCTTTTCTGTAAGGACTCCAAAATTGCACAGGAAATGCTGTGGTTGTCAGAGATCATCAGTTCCTCCAGCTCCAAGACAGAGTGAATATTTACATGCAAAGCATGCCCTATGTCCTGTGACAGTGAGGAGGACAAACTGACTATTAGTACAGATGGATAAGCAACAGTCCAACTGTTCTCCCCGTTTGCTGACAGCTCAAATTGAGGCAGACTTAAAAAAACCACAGTTCAACCCAAGCTGAAAACAAGTTTGCATAGGGGTAGAAGGATTTCCTTGAAGACACGTAAGTCACAGTGTGGGACAGTGATCTCTTTGGAAAGAGAAGCCTTTGCATTAAACCAAACCTTTCAGATGTCTGAACTAGTGACACAGTCCTTCAAAGAGAAGTTCAGAAAGCTAAATAACAACTAACTGCAGAACAACTTTCTTTTGATGATGTGGCAGTAAGGGCAACCAACCTCCCCCTGAAACGGCAACTGAAACATTCTAAGTAACTTGCAAGCAAGTTCCTCTTCTCCTCCCACATCCTCCATCATCTTTTACCCAGGCTCAAATAGCATGTTCCTAAATGGCCAACTTCCAGCATGAAGATTTTTGAAGACCATGGAAGCAAATTAAATGGTGCAAGAATAGAGAAAGAATGGAAGAACCCCGTTGATAAGTGTGATGAGCAGTAACACACCTGCACACTTGTGCAACAGTAAGATTCTGTTAGGAGCACAGAAATAAATACACAACAAACCTGGATTTGAGTGCTGGGGTAGTTTAAGGCTCACGCTAATTTGGCTTATGCATCCTGCCCAAGGCAATTGGGTTACAAACTACTCTCCTGAGTTTAGCAAATATTTATGGGTGTTGTTTATTCAGTTGAAACTGAATAAACTTCATCACCAAGTTTTCAAGTGCAAATGTATGTAATCTCCCTTAATTCTGCTCTTAAAAAAATTCAATTGCTCCCCAAAAATTCTAGCCTGTACACACTCTCAGAAAATAGATAATGATTTAATACCAATCTGAGGGTTCACAAGAAATTAACTACTTAATTAAATGAAACATAGTTCAAACAAGCAACACTGAATCTGTTCCTCCATTAAAGAGGACTATAAGTTTCTGCATAGAGAGAGCAGTAAACAAATATTAAGAAGTACTATTAGTTAAGACATCAGACAAAAACAGATCAGATTCCTGACTTGCTATTTTTGTCTTCACATAACAACAACTCCATTTGGATGTTTCAAGTTCAGCCTGCCTCAAAATAAAATACTGCTTTTTACTTACTTTACTTTACTAGTGAGGATAAAGAAAAGACTTTGGGTCTTTAAACATTTATATTACTGATGTGTATAGGCTGTTGATTGTCACTGGTTTGTTCCAATGATCCACAATTGCTTCAAATTAAGCACAGCTGAAGACTGCTGTAGATGCATCCAAACGTAGTGCTGTTTCAATAACTTAATAGCACTTTGATGTTTGCCTTGCTGAATTCTTCACTGCTGAAGGAGGATCAGAGTCTTCAGTTCACAGCAAAAAACGAAACAAGGCGGTTATGAAGATCACGTAACGCAGAGCTCCGAAGCCCACAGCGGAGGTTTGCTGCAATATGGTTGTCTGCTTCTGGTCTCTTGAGAACAAACAGCTGCTGTAGCAGTTGCTCCCTCCTCTTCTGCATCTTCCTTTACCTCCTGCAAACCTTCTGCTTCTTCGAATGGATGTTCTAAAAGTTTCAGTACATTTCTTACCTAGAGCAAAAACATAAGCACAGTTGTTAAGAATTTAGAAAGTGAAAGCAAAATGATATGGAGAACCCCATGCCAAATAAAGTATATTGTATTTAATACATGAACTCCAGATAAGCCAAATATTAAACAGATGAACAATATACATAAGATGCAAACTGTAAAATTGTACCTGGCTGAGTTTGTACCTGTATGGGATTCAAATAATTTGAAATGCAAATATTAAATACAAATTCTTATATAATTTCTCAAAATAAATTAATTTTCCCATATTTTGCAAGTAATATTCCACATGCTGAAAGTCCACAGGTTAAAGCTGTAAAATTTAAAAGATAATACTTTCCAGAAAGGAACAAGTGTAAATTAATCCTCAACTCCCTTCCAAGCCACTCTCAAGACAGTAAAAGCAGTGTGTCTTGAGGTCAGCCTATAAAAGCTGGTGAAGTTCAGATTCAGAGTTTTAATTCCGTTATTTGTACTTCAGTCATTAAAATTACAGTTTCAATAAAAACAATAGAGACCTCCTGAACAGTGAATTCCCAATCCCCTTACTGCCCAAGATTCCAGACTGAATTTTGCCTGATATAATGTCAGTCATTAACAGCACAACTACACATCCACACAAGCCTAGAGAGAGAGAGTGAGAGAGAGCGCAGTAATAGCATACCTCTGAGAAATCCCCATTTTCAGCTGCTTCTATTGCATTCTGGGCAATGTAATTTCTCAAGATATATTTTGGATTGTTTGAATTCATGACCTTCACACGCTCAGTGTTCCAGGCATCAGCATTACCAGTGCTTTCTGTTTCTTTTTGCAAACGGACTCTGAAATTAAGCAGGTGACAATAATTGGTTTTTACCACATGTAGAAGTTGACACATTTTCTTGTTTTGAGATACTTTGTTCACAGTTCTTAAAAAATACTACATCATCTATAATCCTCTCAGTTTATAAAATGCAGCATGACAACATAATATAAAACACCACTTAGCTTAAAACTGTTCAGTACTATGGACAGCAGGTCCTGACACAGCTTGAGGAAGTAGCACAGCACAGTTTTTCTATACTCTGAAGTCAGATCAAGACATGGGATATGGTCTGTTCTGCAATGACTGATACATTCAAGTTTTGTCTTTCAACTATTTTTATACTGTTTACTGGTTAAAGCTTTTGCTGTTCTGGCAAAAACTCAGAGATGTAATACAACTGAGGCAGTTTGAGGTACTTTCTATCAGTAATCTTTCTATCAGTAATATCAGTACTTTCTATCAGTAATACTTGCTAAAGCTCTCAGCCCTGCTGAACAAGATCACAGGCAGCCAGGTGAGGAAAGATCTGACCTAATCCACAGAGCACAAAAAAATAATGCTCTATTCAGGGTTTTTTTTACAAAAAAAATCTCCTGCTAACACGCAAGTTTTTAAGCTTTGGAACAGTCTGGACCTTTGTTTTCCTGGCCATGATTTCTGTTTTTACTCTTTGATTAAGCATACTTGCTTTCTGTATTAACACATAGACTTTTCTTTTGGAAAAAAAAATTCAAAGGACAGAATGCTTCAAGGTCAGTCAGTTGTAGTTACTGAGCACTTAAAAGTTCGCAACTGGAATTAGTCTCTGTCAGAAGCAACATCAACACTGTTGAAGCACTTGTCATACTAGATTTGATGCTAGGTGATTTCTACACCCTCACACTACCTCAAAATCTAGTAAAACAATATAAAAAGATACCCTTGAACTTTCACAGCAACAAAGATACTGATCATGGCAATAGATAATATTCTTGAGCTGCATGCTCTCCCCATCCTCCTAATCTATATTTAAGAGAGGGTGTCTTTTATGGGACATGCACATTGTTCTCAAAATGTAGAAATATAATAGTGCTATCAATACTGAGAAACTTTACCTGTATTTCTCCAGCCATTCCTTCCAGTGTCCTTTATTTCTGTTACGTAAATCATCTGCTGTTAACTGCTGCAGTTTAGAGAGCTGTTCAATGCGTTCCAATTCTTTATTTATACTAGCTTTTGTTCCAATTAATGCAAACAGCTGAGGATTAGACTGAGCTAACATCAGCATCATTGACAGTTGTCTGGGAACAAAAGGAACAAAAACAATCAAAAGCTCAGGTAACTTTAACTCGAGAGCCAACAGATGGAAGTCATGCATCTACTTAACAGTGACATTTCCAGTCTTAAAATCAGTGAAATATTACATACTATGCAGAGTTCATTATGATTATAATAAAACTAAAAGCAAAAGCCAGAAACATTTAAGCAGTATAATTTATACCGTGGATCCATCTGTGGTTTAAAAACAATTTTCAGTTCTTCCACAGAAGCACACTGACTTGTAAGCTCTTCTAAGAAATCTTCAAATTTTGAAGGATCAATGTCTACTGAGAATGAACTCAGCAAGTAAAAAATATTTGTGAAGTCTCCAGCTGAAAAAAAAAAAGAATTTCATGAGTAATGCAACTAATAAATCAGCAGGAAAGCAGTTCCCACACCTCCTTCCTACCTCCTCCCACAGCAGTACAGGTCACCATTCTAAAGAGGCAAACAAACTGTTCTCTCAGTGAGGGTGCAAATGTGAGATAGGGGCCCTGTATAACGCAACAACTACCCCACAGTTCACAATAAGGTAATTATTTTCAGCCTTTTGTTCTTCTCTCAGATAACAATAGAGTTGCACAAGGCTGCTTTCTTTTAAGGTCAAGATATAAATTGTATTTTGATTTGGTAATAGATTCAGATAGGCTATTAAACAAGCACCTTCTGTGCTGTTCACCAACCTGTGAGATGCATGGTTTCAAGCAGTTCAGACACCAGCTTACTATCTTCTTCTAGTTCCAGCTGGATTAAGCCTAGTTTTTTTCTCATCTTCTGCAAATAGTGTTTCTCAAATTCTGCATCATATTCCTCTTCCAGGATCAGTTGGCTTATTTCCAAGGGCAGCTCTGGAACTAAAGCTTCAGCAAGTTTCCCCAGGTTCCACTTGCAAATCTCTGGCTGTTTGTTGTAAGCATAGCGCCCTGTATTATCAGAACCATTGCAAATGTGCTCAGGGTCATACCTACAAGAGAATAAATGGTTAGTATTCTTCCAGTTATCTGGACACTAATACAGTGAGAAGTAGTACTTTTATTATTTTAGTCTGCTCTAGGAACTAAAAAATTTGAAAGGAAACATTCCTTGATTCTTTTCTCAAAGCCAGAAGCTACAAGAAGTCTTACAGCCAAGACATTGTGAACACAGTTTAAAGTACATTGACATGAAGAATTACAGGAAAACTAGAATTACCTTAATCTCCTTTGCTGTAAAGATAATTAAAAAATCTACTTTAGCGTTAAAATATTAAAGCAACCACAAGCACCAGGATTATCCTACATAGCAAGAACATATGCACATTCCAAACAACAATGCCACACTGACCTGTCCATAAACCCAAAAGGGCCATAGTCAATGGTCAGTCCAACAATGCTCATGTTATCTGTATTCAGCACGCCATGGCAAAACCCCACACACTGCCATTCAGCAACCAATCTCGCTGTCCGTTTGGTTATCTGAAAGAAAGGACTTTTCTTTATTTTTTATCACAACGTATTTCCAATATATTCATGTTTTCATATATTTCCAGTATATTCCTAGTCTGAACTGAGCAGATTCTGGCAGTATGCCATACACACAAACATCTTAAGGACAGTTTGCCTCTCTCCTCCTGTCAGTAACTCCCCTGTTTCTCTGCCTCCTATTTCCATTTGCCTCCTCTTCTCTCATGCTTGACTTGCCAGCCAATTGAACAGCTTTCAAATGCACTGGAGGCAGTACACTGAAATAAGATAAATTGTTTGACATCAGACTTGCATACTACTCTAGTCACTATACAAATATATTCTTTTGCCTATTGCTAATTTTAAAGAGTAACTACAGGCAGGAGATCACATAAGCAAATGTACTCTTTTGGATTACCCCATATGTATGGGTGATTTACAGGGAGGTTAAAGGGCTGACACAAAAAAGCTGTTCCCTGCAAACAAGTTTTAGCACTGATAAGCATGTCTCTCTATATTCTGAGATTGGAAATAAGGCTACAAGATTAAATAAAAAAATTGCAAGAATGACAATTTTGTTTAAATGCAATTCTTCATGGAATGCATGTTTCATCTGACATTTTCCGCTGCTTAATGGGGAATTATTTTTATGGAATTGACTAAAATCACTGCATGTGCTCCATCCTTCAAATAAGTAGTATAATATTTTAAAGCAGTCCTAGTTACTTAAATACATTAACCTACCTGTCAATTACAACACTAAAAATCTAAAAGTCAGGAAGCTACATGGTTTTTAAATAAAACTAGTTGTAAATACTTTATTAAATTGCCATAAGTAAAAATTTTGCATAGCCACTAGCTAAAACTTTAGGATAAAATTATTTTCATAGACAAAATCATTCTTCTTCCCAAATAGCTAACAATGCACAGAAATTCAAAACGACTATTTGCTCCATGCTGCAGTGTAAGTGTATTTCATTAAGGTTCAAAAAACAATCTATGAATTGTTTCATTAGATGTTTCTATGCCTTTGTGTTCAAATCCAGAATTTTTCTACTGTTTTTTTAAAAAAAACCACACACAGTCAAGTAAAGAACAAAAGTTAAACAAATCTTGCCCTGACAGGTAGTGAAAACCATAAATGATGCATGGAACAGAACCTTTCTGTTTACCTCGAGGTCCCACACTTCTAATTTTTCCAATATTCTCATAGTAGATACTTTACCCATTTTTCCTGAATGCTGATTCATGGGGCAGCTGGAAGCCAGCAGCCACCTACATGCGTCCAAAACTGATTACTTAAGCCATGAACCAGTAAGAGAGGCACACCCTGTACAATGGCTCTGTGCCAGGAAAATGTAAAATTTAAAAATGAAAAAATCCTGGCCACCAGAGTTGGGATAAAAGCACTCCAGTGTTAAGGCATGTTTGGATGCACTGTACACCACCAGGGTTCTGGTAAGAAGAAATCCCCCTAATAAGAGTGTCCAAAAGCAACTAAAGCTTGAGTGCCACTCAAAGATGGGTATATTGATGATAAAGAGACAGCTCTGCATCCCCTTTGATCTTTATTATTTTTGATCAACATTTTTCTATAGCTAGCCAAACTAGAAGGCAAACATGGTGTATATGTAAGACCGTCAGCTGAAAGATATGCTCATTTAAATTTAAACAACAGCTACAAATTATTTGAGAAGTAAAGATAATGATGTCTGCTTTCTAGACTGTGCTGTAAAATGCAATCACTTGTACTTTTTGTCTCCATTTCCTCCACAGTGCAGAAAGAATGATAAAACAAGATAGAGTTGAAGTGATGGCAGTTGCCTACTCATGGATGTTCTTGCTCACTTAGAGAATGAAATGGGGTGATTTTCAGGAGAGAAAAGTCTGTAAAGTCTCCACTAAGGATGAGAAAAAACATGAGGAGGCAATGATAGCACAGACTGGAGTGTGGACAGTCAGTGGCATGAGAAGCACAACAAATAAAAAACAGACCTGGAGAAACAAGAAAAGAATACTAGGAATAGGGGTGGAAGGAAGGAGAAGGAAACCAGTAGTAACTGGGCCAGGAAAAGCAGCCAAAAGCAGAAAGAGGCAGGACAGGGCATACACATGCACATCCACAAAGATCCCCAAGTCCCATGACTTTTCTGCTATCAGGAAGTAAACATGCCATCAGCTACAGAGCTGGACACACACAGAGTGAGTGCAAACCCACAGCTCTCATCAACCCCAACAGTTCACACACAAAGGACTTGTCCAGCAGAGTTAAATTCTTTGGAATATAGTGCTGAACCAATCCACAGCTTGCTTTGAAGAACTAATGCAAGCATGCAAAGGTTGTGGTAAAGAAAAAAAAAAAGGAGCAAGAAACCAAACCATAGAATGTCAGGTATTTTGGCCTCTTATCGGTCTGCTATGAAAGTGCATTGTTCTACAGCCATTCCATCAGTCCTTACCAGATAATTTCAGATTTCAAAGCACCACAACAGCTTTTAGATAGACTAGTCAAGTGTTAGACACTGGTATTTTTTAATTATTCTCTTTGCTGGCTAGTTAGAAGAATGCTCAACTGCCTTTAAACATTTCAATTCTAATATCCGAAGTTAAAATGATCTGCAGACAACACTCCTGTTTGTAATTTGGAAAATAAGACTCAGCATTCTCAGTATTTTACAAAATGATGCCTTGCAAGTGATGTCTCAGCACCATCAATTCATCATCTGACATTCAGAGCCAGAACTTCCTCTCAACAGTCTAAGACAGTCCCAGAAAATGGAGCTAAGTCTTTGGAAGCTCTCCCAAAGCAGGGAAATAATGATTTACTATTAGGAAGGTTAAACTGTTTTCACTGGTTAGATCAATATCAACACTACTTTCATCAGTAAGCAGGTCTATCTACTAAAAGTGCTTTCTTCAAAGAAAAAGGTTCAGACTTTGAATGATACTGACTCCGGTCATCTGTGCTTGCAGATGAAGTTCCTAAAGATGACCGGTATAGATTTATGAAGAGAGTCTGATCTTCCTTACCTCTCTGAAGAAAGCAGCATTCCTCTGAATAGTGTTGTCTGAATAAGCCTCCTGGATTTCTGGGTAGAAAGTGCTGATCACATAATCAAGCATCTGTATTCGAATATCATTCCGGTTAACGCTGGGACCCTTGCGTCCAGTGTATTCATCAGGGGGTTTAAAAATTTCAAAAGAGCCAAATCTGTTTCAAAATAAAAACATGTTTTAGAATTAAAATATTGATACTATTAACATAATTTGATATTGTATGTAATAAAAACATTTACTGCTGTTCTAACAACAGCACACCATCTCTTAACACCAATCTTTCAGGCGGCTGAGAGAAAAGATCTGCAAGATTCCTACAATGAACGTGGTGAGGCTCAGCGAATTGGTCAAAAGGAAGCTCCTACATCCACATGTAACAAAACTGACCAACCCTGCCAGTACTGAACACCACCTCACTGAAGTTTATTACAACTCCTTCTACTGAAATTTTTTTATCCTAAAATATATAAAAATATTGGACTTCTTTTAAATACTAGACTGTACATCAAGCATACCAGATATATTCTCCAGATATGTAAACACACAGAGAAATGCACACAAATACACACATACATATGAAATCACATCTTCCTTATACCTCACCTCCCCCTAATATTCTGTAGCCTTAGAGGAAGCAGTGCAACTTCCTGAAATGCCTAATGGCTGTAGCTTCTGCTGGAGCTGTAACCTCGTACACTTCTCAGGCAGGGAAAGTACATCCAAACTTTGATGGTACTACTTCAGAACTGGAATTAAGGATAGAGTTATAATCCACCACTACAACTAAAAAAAAATAAAAAATCATGTATTCTGTAGAGGAATACACATGAAAAATCTCTTCTCCTAAATCTGCAGAACTTCTTCTTTCCACCAGGCCAGCATCCCTAGTGTTTATCTGTCTCAGTGCAAAGACAGCAGCCCATCCCATCCACTGGGCAAGAAAAGCAGATTCCTACAGCCCAGCAAAAGAAGTTCCAAACATCCAGAACAAGAAACATATGAACACTGCTGCTACAGAAATATGCTTAAGATGGTATTTTAAAAGACTGCTTAGTTTTAAAGGGGAAAAAAAAAACCAAAACAAAGCCAAGCAACAAAATAGGCTTCTACCTTATAAATGTAGAGGCTATTCTCAGAACAACTGTACACCTTTCATTTTTTGGATTCCCATCATAAAATATGTCACGAACGACTTTGGAGTCGGACGTCACGCAGGTGCCAGCCCGTGTTGTTGGTATTCCCAGGTGAAACATGGCCTCGCTGCACAGGAACTCCCGAATGCTCGACCGCAGCACTTTCCGGCCATCAGCTTGTCTGCGGCAGGAAGACACAGAGGGTTTTTAGGCTATAAAGGCAGGAACTCCTGTCTCCTCTGTAGCAGAGAGAAATAAAAGCCTAGAAGTAGCACACTCTGTCCGTGGTCACACAAAAAAGTAGTGGCAGATCTGAAAACAAAAGCTGGACCTTCAAACTTCTGTTAAAGTTCAATTAGATGAACACAGCAACTTGAAATAAAGAGCACACATAACAGAGTAAACCTTCCAGGTACACATATCCCTTCTAATCATTAACTGCATTGGTTTTATTGATGCAATAGTCTTTAAAAAGATTTAAAAAATTTGAACAACTATAGCTATTTTACTGTACATCAAGTCAATGGTTTCCTCTTAACTAAATTAAATATAATGAAAAATATTCTTTCGAATCTTTCTGGGTAAGCAATCTAGAAATGGGGTCCTAAATATGAGCACACACAACAGCTGCACTTAAAAAAAACCCAACTAAACAGACAGAAGATAACAAGCTAGCTTATTTAATAAACATTAAGCAAAAGGAACAGACACAGGTGGTTCTCAGCCCACACTCCCAGCACTTCCAAAGCCACAGGCAAGCTGGAGAACAGCCCAGGGCAGATCTAAAAAGCTACCACCATATCTGGGATTTTCACTGTGATTCCCTTAACTCTCACAGACCTGAAGAAGACCTTCAGAGGACCACATACATGAAACTAAGGTTGTTGCCAAGCCTGTGTAGAGCTGGGACAGAAAATATGTGAAATTAAAAAAAAAAAAATCCTGAAATATTTAAAGTATTTAAAGGCTAATGTGACTAACGAAGATACCCATCCCCTGCAGGGATTTGGTCAGTATGACATTTTGGGGACTTTTCTGCTATTCCCTCCCACAGCTGGGAGGAGTGGGGAGGAGCAGCAGCACAACCAAACACTCACATTTAAATACCATCTGCGAGGGCAGCAATTACACGCTGCTCTCCCCACTGTCATCACGGTCTGCATCCTCCCAGCGGGGGACAGAAGTCATCTGCACCATGCAGTGACATGCAGTTACGCTCCTGTTTTCCAGCAGAAAATTTTGCCACCTCCTGATCTAGCATTTAAGCATTACACTCGCCGATGCCGAAGTTAAGCAAAACAAAACAAAACAACCACGAGGGTTAAGAGATGACCTTTGCCTCAGGGAATGATCCTCAGCAAGGCACCAGCCCCTCGTTAATGCGATCTGCGAGGCGGCAAGTCCTTGCCCGTCCTCCCCGCAGCCAGGCACGGGGCACCGCGCCCCGCCGGCTGCCTCGACCCCGTCCCGCCCGGGCCTTACCGGGAAAAGGGGGTGATGCCGGCGCCCTTGAGCTGGATCTCCCAGCGCTCGCCCAGCGGGCCCAGCACCTCGCCCAGGTACATGGCGGCGCCGTCGCCCAGCTGCCCCGCGAAGCTGCCGAACTGGTGGCCGCAGTAGCAGTGCGCCGCGGGCTCCGCGCCCGCCAGCACCCGGTTCCCGCTGAAGAACAGCGCGGCCTCGGCCTCCGCCGCCGCCGGGTCGGCCGCGGGCGCCTCCAGCCCCAGCAGCGCCAGCGCCGGCAGCGACATGGCCACGAGCCGCGGGTTCTGCAGCGGGCTGGGCCGCACCCGAGCGAAGCAGGCGCCGGGCACGATCCGCGGGCCGCCCTCCTCCGAGGCGTCCACGGGCAGCGAACGCAGAGCCAGGTTATCGAAGCGCAGCGCGCCCAACCAGCCCCCGCCGCCCTCGGGCTGCTGCATGGCCGGGCCCCACGCCGCCCGCAGCAGCCGCGGGGGGAAGCGGCGGGCGCTGCGCAGCACCGAGTCCATGCGACCGGGCCGGGGGCGGTGCCGCGGAGAGTCCCGCCCATGGGGCCGCCCTGCCCGGACAGCCGAGCCCGGACAGCCGAACCCGGGGAGCGCGGCTGCGGCCCGCCAGATAAAAGTTGGCCCCGGGCCGGGCGGCTTGGCCCACTTGAGCAGCCGCCAGCAGCGGGGGGTGCGGGACCCCCAAGAAGAAAAAAGATAAACGTATGTATACCAGAAGTCAGTACTTATTCACCATGCTCCAGTTTTATTTCAGTTAATAGCAGCTACCTCAGTGGTGGGTCAAGACCAAACCTCTTCTAGGTGTGCACACTTTCTCTGAAGGGTCCAGTGGATGCCTCCACTTAAACCCGGCCCTAGCAGGTGAACCATTTACAGACAGTAGATGGCACTACATTATTATTTTACTTGTACTTTTCAGCTAAACTTAAACGTGAGTCTCAGCTCTAAAGAACTGGGGTGTAACCGTAGCAGAGAGGACATGGTGGTGGCAGCAGGGAGAGGGAGAGGAGCTGCCCCGTGGCATTTGGCAATGCCAACACTCAGAACACTATTGCACTTCTGTAAGGGACAGTCCGAAGTTTCCCTTATCTGTCCCACGATCGTCGCAAGAACAGAGACTAAGATCCTGAAGACCCCAGGAAACTTTGTACAGGGGTTCTGGCCTGGTTGAGGTGGGTGCTTGTCAAGTGATGTTTGCAGGTGTGCTCGCTGTGCTGCCTTCGTTCCTGCTGGTGAGCAGGGACTGGTGAGGAGAGGGCTGTTCTGTACCTTACACTTGCTTCCCTGAGCAATGGGTCTTATCACAATAGGCTGTGAATCTCCCCACCTCTTGGCCAACTGCCCCCAAGTTACTTTCTGAAAGAGATCTCCCCACGGAAGAAGACACTAGTGACCCCATCTTGTCCGTTGGTAGCCATAACCCCCCTTTTTTTCTCTCTTTACTTTGCCTCTTTATCCCTCTCTCTCTCTCTCCCTTTCATCTATTGCATAACCCTTGTTGTTGGCACTAAAATAAAGGTGCATCATTGCTGTTGTGATTTAAACTGAAATCCCTTTGTGTCCTTATTGCACTCTGAGATCAAACTAACCTCTCACGACTCCCACTTGTGTTAGCAGATAGTGACAACTTGCACAAACTTAAAGGCCTGAGCAACTTTGCCAGGCTTGCCCACACAGAACTCCAGGAACAGAACACTCCTGATGGCCCTGGAGAAAGTAGGTATGCCGCTTAGTTGCATATATCACATTATTAACCACCCTGCTCTAATCAAATCTCACTTTTCATTACTTTGTCCAGTTTGTAAATCATCTCTGTAGCCAGAATCAGGGACATCTGACCACTGAAAGAATGTCATCTAGCTGGGATAATTTTTTTCTTTAGCATTTCCTTTTCTTTAGGTCTGATTCTTCCTACTTTTGAGGAATTAGTCATGCATTAGTCATAATACACAAGTACCAAGTATCTTGCTTTAGCACATGTGAAAGTAGCTGTGTGCGTCTTTCCCCCTGTCCCTATCATCACAGAGCTTTTCCGTGTCATACCACACAAACCAACAAAACATCCAACAAGCAAAAGCAAACATTTGCTCAATTTGCAGCAGTCACCCCCAGCAGGGAGCTACCAAGGAGGAGCCAGAGCCAAGCCAGGTGTCAGGACTCAAAGGACGAGGTCTTGCGATGGAAAAGAGCACACGCCCCCAGCTCCCAGCCTTTTCTCTACTGGGAGTGAGGGTAACATCTTTGTTGCTGTTGCCTCCCTGGAATGTAGAAAGCTCCACTCTGCAGCAGGCAGAAGGCAAGCAGCAAGGGAAGGGATAATTACACAACCCCCAGCCACCTTCTTCAGCTGGGAGCTGCTGAACAGGACAGCTGCTTAAGCTGTTCCTGGGGTTCTCACATACACAGGGACACACAAGACCTGCTGGTGCGAGGATATAACAGCTGGTGCATTTTTGCACCCCAAGAGTCAGTAGACTGATTTCATCCTTGTATCTTTGGGGCTACTTTTGTCCCGTGTTTGATGTCTTCCATGTGCATTTCCACATCACGGCATCAGCACCTCGTTGAAGTCTGTCCACTAGTCAGACCCACATGAGTGACTCTTGTCCTGCCAGTACTTAAAAGCTCCCACATCTTATCAAAATGTCAGTCTTAAAACACTCAAGTCTAAAATAAAATTTATTTTGGTTTTAAAAAGAAACAGGGAAATACATACATGAGAATCTTAGAGTTACACAAGTGATAATGTGCTGTTTCTTTTCCATGTGTTTTTCCCACTGCCTGGCACTTTGAGGTAACTTGATATATTTCTCAGTTTTTTAGATGTTTTACAATACACACAGAAATACAACTTCCAGTGGAAACACAGACATTTTAATCCACCTCAAATAGCATATTTTTAAATTTTGTTCAGTATTTGGTATAGAAAAGACACCTCAAACATGGTGTGGGCCAGCAGTGTAAAAACGTAATGCTGGTGAACAACGCTCCCAAAGCAGGCAGCTGCTGGGTGCCACCTGAGGCTGACTGAACACTGCCCCAGAGCTGAGCTGCTGTGCAGCCTCCTCTGCCACTCCCAGGGACAATACAGGACTACAGTATTCAAAGATTTTTCTTCCACCTAAATGGTTTAACCAGCAATTCTTTGTAGCCACAGCTCCAATTGCAGCTGGAGGGAACTATTGCCTGATCAAGGAAAAACAACAGGCTGCATTTTGCTTTACATACAATCAAAAAAGATGGACCACTGATTAACAAAGGGTTCAAACAGATGGTACATTATCTGTATGGACTACAGCTTATCATATATATGAATACAGGGTCTTTGGATTAATATGTTTTTTTAAAGTAAAGGTCACAGTGATTTACCTGTGTCAATTTCAAAGAAAAAGCTCTGCCACCCATTCAACATCTTTTGCACTTAAAGGATCTTTATTTCTCACACACCTGAAGCACAAATGACTGTGCCTGATGTCAAGCCAATGTTGGAGTGCTTTGCTGGACTGGGACTACAGCTGTCGGCTCCTTGCAAGACTGAGCACTGGAGACAGGAAAAGCAACAACAAAATCAACTCACCATGCATAACTCTGGGCTCTGTAAGTTCTCACATTGAGCAGTCTCCCTGTGTGTTCAGTAGGACAGGGAAACTCATCCTTTTCTTCTTAACCAGTTACATGTGGTAGGCAGAGAAACTGCCTACTGTTCCCCTGCTTCAGCATTACACCCAGATGCCCCTCAGCAGGAGGTAATTAGTTAAACTAATGTTCTGCAAGAAAATGTGTAAAATGGTGGGATTATCCTGTACTAGATCTAGCTAACCAGAGTTTGCTCTCAATAAAAATATTGGCTAATTAGGAAAATAAATACCTTCAGCAGAAATGGTGGTTAAAATACTTTATTTTTTATATAATAGAACATACTGCTGTTTACTTTAAATCACTTTAAAGGCACACGTTGTTAAAAATACTTCAAATTTACATCACATGTACAAATGCATAAAACAGATGTACATGTCACCAAAAAAAATACAATATGGCTTCATAAGGTTGAGGCGGGGCTGGGACAATTCAACATATACTTAAATTTTACAGGATGCTGCTAACACTGAAAGGACTGACTAGAACAGAAAAGAATGGGCCTGAAACACAGATTATGTTATATAAACAGTACAACACATTGAACATACAACATCAAGAATCCGTGTATGGATTCATAGAATTGTTAGTTCTGCAAATTCATCACTTTCCAGTGCCACTGAATAAACAGTGCATGCATATGATCTGCCAATTTGCAACTGTGGGAAGATAAACTGCAAATTTTCCATCCACAAAGAGGTTCCCTGAAGAATGTGCTGATATGCTTTGTAAAAAAAAAAAAGAAAAAGAAAAAGAAAAAAAAAGGTTGAAACAATAGACTTATGGTACTGACTGGAGAGGATAGCTGAATAACGAATGGACACCTTAGTTGGTAATGACTTTTGGCTAAAAAGCATAAAACATCAAGTCTGCAAGAATGCTCCATGACAATCATTTACCATTAGTCCCACCCAAGATTAAGGCTCCTATCTAAAATTTACCTTAGATTTGTTTTTTGTGTAAAATTACCTGAGCACAGATATCAAAGATCTACAGAGCTTTTAAAATACCTGCAGATACTTTAAAAATCTGTAGAGAACTTAAAGAAAAATATCCATATATTTAATTCTACTAGCTAAATATTCTAAAAAAAATAACCAACAGAACATTTTGGTATGTCAGGAAAGCCAGGAGAAGAGCAAGTTTAAGCTTTTGCTTTCATCTTTTAAATATGTACATAAAATGTAATAGAATTATTCAAATAGGACTGCTTAATTGTAAACAATAGATTGAATGTTTTTAAAAAACAGGAATCAAAATTCAGGCAGTCACTCTACTCTTCTATAAATTGTTTACAAATGTTGATTTTCCTCTTGCTAGAGATGGCTGGTGGTTTTTTAAGCATTAATAAATACAAAATAAAAGGACCTGCCCCGCTGTTTTCTGTATTATCATTTATATTTTGTGTCCTAGAAGCATGAACTGCTGTCATTCTCATTTGCTAAGGTTTATTCCCTGGACACCTGTAAGGCTCAGACCCAGAAAAGCACCTAGCAACATCTTAAGAGCTCTGCAGAATCAGGTTAGATTCAGTAAGGTTAAAAATAAACATGCACTTTAATAATTTGCTGCACTGGAGCTCATAAAATTTTCAAAGAGCAAGGCAGAAAAGCATCAGGTTGCATGGACAGACCAGCTCCCAGCAAAGTCAATACCATCACAGAGAGGAGCATCAGACCCTTAATTTTAAAAGCTTAAAAAAGACTAGACTGTACAGAAGATAGATGTACATACTTTGAGCAAACAAAAGATTGTATGGAAACACTTCCAACACAAGCCTTTGGAAATATGCCCTA